GGTCTTCCTTCTTAGTCTTATAAATCCTTCACTAAACCTCCACTATCTGGAAGTTGAATTTCCTTTATTTAAATCTAAGATCTAAGAATCCTAACCAAAGGAAGCTAAGTTCAACTCTCCTCACTCTTTTTATTTTTTTATTAATTAATTTATTTTCTTTCGTTCTACAAGTCATTAAAGGCTGTTGTTGCCTCAGGAGTCAAAGTCAAAAAGTCAGTCTTGCCAAAAGTCATCCCCATGTATGATGTTATACAGGGTTGGGAGATCTCCACAAATTCACCATATTATTAAGTTTCAATACTCATTTTCTAGATTATCTAAAATTGTCTGGATATGGTCCTGACCTAATTTTAAAACCTCCGGATTATATGGCCCTAGTGCACTAATTGCTTCTTTTCAAAAAACATCATCATCATTTTCTATCTAAAACAAAACAAAGACACAGTGTCGGTTTGACAATTCCTTTTCATAAGAGAGCAGACTAAAAATTATCAACCTACTGAACAAATGTACCATACCATGGTGGCTACCAATGTACAAGGCCTTCAGCTACAGTCACAGCTGCAGAATGAAACCGGAGAGAAACCCTGTGCCATCCGTGTCCACTTATACCCCTTACAAGTAAAACAAACAAGAACTGTGAGTTAGGATTCACCAGAATGCTAAATCTGCATTCACTAAATCAATTCCCTACAACACCACCAGGATCCTACTGAAACGTATGACATTAATGTTGTAACATTTAGTCCAGTTTCTTACTTTATCCCCCTAAAGTCTTCAAATCTCTCCACTCCCTATGTGATCTCTTTACTAGCATCATTGGATAATTACATAGTGAATGATTACCTTCAACAATGACTCTTTCATCTATAAGAGGTAAAAACAATACACAATACACAATGCTTAAAGACTGAGGTGATATATTCTTTTACAAAGTCTAATGTAGAGTAGCACTCTATATTTTCCCAAATCAGAACTCCACAAGAAGTCCACAAACAATCAAAAACTATTAAAAGCAATGCATTGACTATGGAGACATCTACTCCTAAGTCTACAAAGAATCTCACTATATCACTTACTATATTTAGGATTAACCTAAAATTGTCTTTGCATCTAGTGTTAACTGTAAATATCATTAATCTGTAACTACTGGCTCATCACTGTAATCACTTATCTTCTCCTTTTGTGTCTGTATCTATGTCACTGTACTATTCAGTACTCTGATCTGCACCCCACAGTCTCCTATGGTTGTTCCTGTGGTCCTTTGTTGGTGCCTCTGACCAAAACTCATTTGGATCTTCTCCTTCTCACCAGATCGGACAAGGGATGAAGGTCAAGAAATCTTTCCGCCATCTCTCTCTCTTGTTCTCTTTGTTTCTTTAAACGTACAAGATGTCTATCTAAACAGTCACCAATCCCCAGCCTGTGATTGTAGGTATCTACTAGTGACAAAAAAGACTTCCTGGGAGAAGCAAAGTTATTTTTCTCTGCCCTTTCCCAGTCACTGTTGTAGGAGAGAGACCGAACAGGTCAGGCACAGTTGGTCTTCCTGAAGTTGTTTATCTTAGAGGGGACCTTGTAGCAGGAGACAGCATATGGGGAAGTTCAGCCCCTGCTCTGGCTCTATACACTCCTCTCCATCTTTCTATTTCCTACTGTCTCACTCTTTCTTTAAACAATCTGTTCTATATGTACCTATGATAGACAACACTAATTACATGATGCCAAATTTCAATATCCTCATTCAACATTGTTTCTCCCTTTTTCTGAAATTTCAGTAAGGCCTTTAAGAGAGTAAAGTAAGAAATTTAATTTCCCAAATTTTATCCCCATTTCTACCATAAACTCACTTGAACTGGTTTGCTTTTAACTTTAATGGGCTTTTCATTCACACATCATTCTCAATCCCACTGATCTTACATACCATGTATGGTCTGATCTTATCATACACACAAACCTCTAGACAATTCAGATCAGCCAGGTGGCTTTAATGACACCTATGCTCCCAGCAGCACACCCTTGAAGTATACACAAAGTATACCAGACTCTGGCTGAGTAAACACAAAGTTTATAGTTTTTTACTTTCTTCACTCATATGCCCTCATAGTCATTAGTGGGAATTTTATTTCTCTTTCCCCAAATTCTCACCAAAAGAAACTTCCTCTATCATGGTGTATTATCCACTAGGCATCACAGTAATTTCCATTCTTGTCTTAGTTACTTCTCTTATATTTAGTCCCCATTTCTGGTTATCCTCTATTTGTATTTTTCCTATTTTAATCGTTTAGTTGTTTTTCTATTTTGTTCTTCTTCTTATCTCTTCTTTTGCTTTAATGGTTTCAGCAAAACCTGAAACCACGTTTCATCACCTCATTTGGCTTTACATCAATATAGTCTTGGAAACTCCCATCACCTCTTATAGGATTCCTTATGCGACTACACCAGTTCCTACTCAGGAACTACACAGACCCAGTAGTGGTTATGACTGGTCTTTTTCACTCTTGATTCGATTCAAAACACTGTACTCACTTTTCCAATGGATGGAGTGGACACTGTCCACCACCTAAGTCTGACATCAGACGGGATCCTGCCCTCCGTTTGACGGAGCGGAACTTTCCCTGCCGGCATTTACCTTCAGTCTTGACCCAGGCGCTGATCAGCCGCACTTCCATCCCCCCTTGTCACCAAACATAGGGATAATTCTTCCATCTAGTTCTTTAAAGAATTACGAACCCAGTGTGATAAATCAAATTCCTTTACTCATACAGCATAGAGGGAAGACCACAGCCTAGACATTCCCTCCTAACTTTCAGAATGCACTCCCTTACTAATTCCCTGTATATCATTAAACAGTGAACACCTCTGGTGTCCTATTTATTATTTATTACTATTTATTTATTATGTAAAGTCCAGGTCTCTCCACAAATGGTCCTGTGAGCTGACCCTATGACTTACCTATCATTCCCTACCAGAAAGCACCCTTAAGCCTTCTAAGTTCTTTCCTATATCCTCTGGAATTTTCTCCTTCCTTTCCTTGAGCAGTCTCTGTCCCTCACAACTAAACAACTCTAAATACCCAGTTCCAACTGTCTCTTTAGGACTCACGTGCGAATATAGATAAAAGAAAAAACAAGACAGATATTCAATGTCTTATTAAACACACTTGCTTCATATATACAATAAACTTATTCAACCTTGCATATTGATTAATTATTTATATCATCAACTAAAATTAACCATATCTTTTTTTTGTTTTTTGAAAATACAGGTGTTAACTTTGAGTAATCACAATGTATATTTTCCTATCTTTTTAGACATACCTGTGTTTACATTCAAGCTAAGGGATATCAATCAGCTTAACTCAGGAACACTTTTAATCGCCGAAATAACATTTTCTTTTCTTTTTTTTTATCTGTCAACATAATTTTCATTTATTAATTTAATGGATCTCAATCAAATAGTTTTATAATCAAGCAACAGCCAATAACAAACAGAATATTTTATTTATTTATTTATATTTTATCTACCCCTCCTCCTTGCAGCTCAGGGTCTGCAAGCTACAACACCTCTGTGCAGGCAGGGGAGTGACTATAATATGTCTGTGTAATCCTAAATTCCTAAAATTCCACACATGCGCAGTTAATTTGTCAGTGTGATTTCAAGGTAAACAGAGCTGCAGTTAGCAGCACCCAAGTGGAGCACCCTCCTTTCACTCCTCACTAATCTCTCCACTTCTCTACAAAATCATAACGTCCTTCCAGAGGTTCATGAGTTTTAACAGATTCTAATACGTTCTCTCAACAGAGACTCATAAATTTTAACAGACTGAAAAACGTCCTCCCGAAAGAGGCTCATAGACTTTATTTTTTATTTTAAAAATGTCCTCTCAAAAGAAGCTCATAAGTTTTTAACAATAAAGAACAGAATATCTTTCCTTAAAAATGACTAAATCTCCTGTTCTCAACCAAAACATATATATATATATATATATATATATAAAATAGAATCTTATCATGACATAAGTCACGTATATCAATCTCTGCACAGCCTATCACACACAGCTGGAATACAGCAGACAGCGCTCTCCACACACACACAAGCTCTGTCTCTCATACACAGACATGAAAACTAGTTATCCAGCAGCAAAAATGCATAGCAGAGTCACAAAACACACAGAAAATTCAACACCATCCCAAAAACACAAACAGCATTCAACTCTAAATCCTCTAAATCAATTCATTCATACTATTCCTAAAGCATGCCTCCGCCCCTCCTTTTTTCCTTTATATTTTTCCTTTCTAAATTTTTGCTACCTTGAGGTGTAGATATTCAATGAGAGGCTGCTTCAGACACCGTTCGTCAACAAATGTATTGAGTGGGAACTTACAATTGAATTTTTATTCTACACCATCCAGTTCCTTGAACTGACCTGAAATTCACCTACTGACTTTCCAGGATTTGCGGCCCATCTAAAATCGCCTCCTTGAGGGCTTTTGTCCAAATCAGCGGCGTCCTAATCCTTTTCCTTATTTCCTTATTTTATTCAAGCCAAATTTCCCTGGGCCCAGGGTTGTCACTCTCTTTTTCCTTTAATCCAATTCGACTGTTCCTTAAAGCCTACTTTCACGCAGTATCTAATTTACACATGTCTTACCGTGAAGGAGTTGAAGGCCCAGTCTCCATTAATCTTGCATAGTTCTTTAGCTCACCTTCTTGTTACTAATTAGACTATTCTACATCTATTCCTTATCCTTTACCTTATTTTCCTATTTTCTATTTTCCCTTATTTTTACACTCACACTCCCCCCTGTTGTGTTGTCTACAACGCAACACAATTTAGAACGGAACATCACTCCAAACATCAACACAGCATGCCACACACACGGCATTACACATACTGGATAGAAAGATAGCTACCTTTTCACGGTGTGACCAGACAGCACACACACACACAGCCTCAACGAACGAACCAACGCCCAAATTTGTGAGTAAATGCTCACCCTATTTGCCGGCTTTTGATGCGGGAGTCAGTACGTTGAAGCCGTCAGCGAGGCAGCAGGTCACAGCACGTCCGGAGTTTGTGACGCCAAATTCTTGTGGTAGTATATTAAGTAGCGATGATGTAAAGATGTATTGAAGAGAAGTCCGCTGACACCATCTTGATTGTATATAAAGGTTTATTACAAAAAGGTACAGCATCATTTCAAGCCCCGGGAGCTTGGAGAGCATCCTGCCAAATTAACAACTCTGTCTATATGCGTCGAACATAGGCTTTATATAGGTCTATTGTTTATTCAAGAAAATAGTAAAGAAACATCTGGTTCTAGTACAGATATGTGAGGTAAAACAGGGAGATGGGGGATTTATTAAGATAAAGGTCAGAGACCACTGAGAGGCCCCTAGCCTAAACATTTCATAGTAAGAATTACTATGTTGAACCTCATGTCTTACTAACACTGCATATGTTGACAAAAATATCACTTGAACTTATAACAAACTGTAACTTAAATTTATAGGCCTTCGGATACCACAAGCTGCAACACATATTTGAGACTTATGATGCTAATTTCTCAATGCAGATCCAGCATACTAAAAAAACCAGCAGCTGCTTAGCCTGGTTACATTGCCTACTCACTGCAGTCCAAACCATTTCACCAAAATAGAAAAATACTAAATAAAGTTAGCAAAACAAGACAACTTACTACTGAGGAAAAAGTACCTTTAGTGAGATGCAGACAATGTGAAAAATGTTGAAGCAAACATGGCAGTTGTTTTATTTAGCCCAAGGAAAATACTGCCAAAATAACATAGGCTACACAAAATCAATCAGGTATAGCTCCTCAAACATGCCTATATGCTTCTGATGGACTGCAGAATGTATTAAAAGAAAAAGTCTGACATTTTGGAAATATGCTCTTTATCATTGGATCTCAGAAAATAATCATCTAAAGGTTTAAAAAGGATAAACGTAATGACGACTTTACTAACTTATATTGAAAAATATATTATCTGTCAAATAATAATGCCCTAATTATGATTATAACTTTGAGAGTTTGTCATGTTTCAAGTTATAATTGATTAAGTTAATCAGAGACAGATGTATGGAAACAGATCAAATATATAAAATAATTTATAAAATTTCCATAAAATGTACAGCTTCATATAAATACGATTTATATACGATTTTATCCACATTGCCAAGCACATAACGGCTGTTGCAAAATGCCTGCTCTGAATCACATCCTAAAAACTAACATATCTACCACTATATCTCCAAAAATAAAACCTAAAGATAAACAAATAAAATTGAGTTTTGTAATAAAAAAGCTATACCGTTTTGGACAGACATACATTAGTAACAAGTAATACAAAGTAAACAACTAAAATTCAAATGTGTGAGAGAGACCAAAAAAGATAAAAAGATAAATAAGATGATATAGTGGCTATAACAAGCTCAGCTAATAAAACAATATCAGGTTTGCTTCTGATTGAAACATAAAATGATAGACATCAACTTACAGTTAAAGAAATAAAAACATATTTAATATTTATTGATGTTCACCAAAACATTTCCCGTCAACCAGTTCTCCCATAGCAGAGTCAAAACAAGGCTTCCCAGTTATCTACAGATTCTTATTGGAAATCCTATCTGTAGATGACACTGTAACATCTGTCTTGTCTCTTTATATTTTCCTACATTTCTCCTTTAGTTTTCTCCCCTTTCTCTCTCTCCTTTTTTCTCTGCCTACATGAAGCTGACTGTGTAAATGTTGTTATCATTCATACTGATGAACTGCTGATATCATTGCTGTCCATTCTACAACAACACACAGAGGCCAAAAGCTTGTCTATGGTCCCTTTCCTCATGAAAACATACAGAACTAAGTCTGCAAGAGGACTCAATTGGACCAACATGTAAGACAGTCTATCAAAAGTATAGTACTTGTCTACTAGAAACCAAATGATTCTGGGCAGGAACAACAGTGTGTAAATAAGCAGCACCAGAACCAAAACTCCCACAATTCGTCGTTTTTCATCAGAGGGGACTCGGCTGGAGGACAGGGCTTTGAGGGTCCCACCAAGGAAGAATATTAAAAGTGGGAGGGGAAGAAGGAGGAAGATGCCAAAGACAGTTTTTAATACTTTATCACCAACCCAAAAAGAGAAAGTAAGGAGAAACACGAGAGGAGCAGTCCAGATTGCGATACAGACCACCACAGAGGTCTTGATGGTTCGTCTGAAGCGGTACCACAGCGGGAAGGCGATGACCAAATACCTGTAATACAAGATGGACATAGTCTTTGAGGAGCTTCAGAATTCTATAGTAATATAATGGTCAGACACAGAAGTAGCTACACACATACTGGATAGAAAGATAGCTACCTTTCCAGGGCGATACACACCATGAAGCAAACACTGGCCGCGACACCATAATTGTGAATAAAAACTGCCTTCCACTCCCTAGGTTGTGCCTCCGCAAAAATGAAGCTGCACAGCTGAATAAGGTCAGAAATGAGAAGGTTGATGACGTAGATCGGAGCAACATGATCACTTCGCACCTGCAGGAAAAGATTGGTAAAAGTAAACAAGCAGCTGTAAACATGTTCTGAACCTCCTCCCAAATATGTCATCTTGCTCTGACCAGCAATTGCAGTCAGAGGTATTTATGTATATTTCAACTCTCATTTGTGCTGTGTCTGCCTGATCTGTCTGCCTCCCTGGTTTGTGACCCCTGCCTGTTTCTTTGGATTTGATTAAAAGGATTTTCTCTCTCTTCAGCCTCCTCAACTCCACTTTATATATAATTCCGCAAGGGCAAGCCATTATCTCTGACTTACTATCAGTTGCATCTTCCATCCCATATCTCTTCAGTTCTATCTCCCTGGACAGACCAAGCCATGCTGAACTCTGCCTCTGTCTCCACCTTCTTGCCAACTGGAATGGAATCACCTTCTTCTATGACGAGCAACTGACTCATCCACACAACACAATCTGTACGCTGACGCTGCTCCTTCTGTCGCTTTTGGGGGAATCTACAATGGAAGATGCTTCACAGCAGAATGGCCCCCAGAGCTGGCAAGTAAAAGCCATACAATCAAACTTTACCTTAGCAATGTAAGCTTCTTCTCAAAACTTTCCAACTGGCAGCCCTGACATGGCCTCTAACCACCTCATCCACTCTCTTCAGAATCTACCCTATATTAACTATTCTTTGTTGGCATACAGGGTCGTAAAAGGCCATCCTTATATACTTGCAGTTGGAGACACAATCAACAGATACCTCCCATGCCCATCCATCATGCTATTTATCTCTCTTTCTCTCTTTCTCATTCTCTCATTTCTCTTTCCAGACTTTCAACATACAACATAATCTTCCTATCATTCACTCTCATCACCATGACCTGTTACCTATGCCCATTCTGTGATGGCAATTAAAACACATACAATCAAAGTTTACCTTAGCGACATTAGCTTTTTCTCAAAACTTCTATTTGGCAGCCCTGGCTTGGCCTCTAATCATCCACAAATAACCTTCCTACTTCTCAGAGGTCTTTAACGTCAAGAGCTAGCTCAAAATTCTCGCTGCCTTCTTCTTTAAGCAAACTCTACTTCCAGCGAACCCAGACCCATCAATCCAGTCAGCCAACAACCATATTTTACTTGGAAGTCCAATCACTGTTGAATCCTTTCGAGACCCTGGCAATGTACTAGCAATTCTGAAAATCCCAAAGCACAACCATGAGAGATATGTATTCTCCTTGTCCAAAAAAAAATCAAATCATGGGCCTTTGCTTATGCCAAGCTTATTGCAGTTACATACTCACAGTACACATGGATACTGTACACATGGTCACTTGCACTTGCCATTTTTGCACATTTGGACATTTGAAAGTGTGACTTTAAACTGTACATTTTAAACCTTTGTATTCTTAATATAGTGTAGGTCTATTACATTTGGAGTATATGTAACGCAAGTCATTTCCCGCTGGGATTAATAAAGTATTTCTGATTCTGATTCTGATTTTGATACTTAAAGGTCTCAGATCCACTCAGTCTTGTCCTAAGTAATTGGAAGCTTTGGGGGTCCATCGGGCCTTGGTGCTACGGTCGATTCCCCAATGAAGGTTCTCTACACCACACTAGACCAAACTCACCAGTGATGTTTTAAAGGAGCACAATCTGCCTGTTGATGTTAAAAAGCTATTATCCAAGGACATCTGCAAACAAGTCCATCCATAATACAATTTCTCAACTGACAGCCCACTGTAGAGTAAACCATTGACATGGGCCAACGTTCTAAATCTAGATATTTTAATTGATTTAGAATTTGTTTTATTCTGTTGTGTTGTTTTGAATCAGTGCTGTGAGGGGAGCCTAGTTGGTTAGCTTCATCATCAGCTGACTCAATGGACTGTTTTCAGGGTTCAGCTCTTTTAGTGCTTTGAAATTGAGAGTTGCCTGTTTATTGTATGTTTAAAAGTAATGGGAAACTTCCCAGTTCTGCTCAGCAAGTGTTATTTTGTATTTTCAATCAACTGTGCGATCCCTAGATCTCACTTCCATATAAAGCTATTGGTACAATTACATTATCAAATATTTGTATCCAAATTCTAATTGGATTGGATGTTAATATTGAATGATTTAATTTTTAATGCATACATTGTTCTGCTTTCTGTCTGAGTGTATGTGTTGCCATATTGATATTTCCTGATCTTATATGGACCAAGTTAAGTATAATTTATCTTTCCGTCTCCCTCCACTGTTTGCAGTGCCCTATGTATTATTACATCACTTCATCTCCTTCCCATTAGCATGTTGGTTCCTAATATATTAATAATTATGCATACAATTAATAATAGTATCTTAATATATAGTTAATGCATTAGATATTTTATTTAATAGCTTGGCAGTTTTTCTCAGGTGGAGTTGTTCAGTGACCAAAGTAAATATTTTTTAATTTAGATCCTTTTTTCCCTGAGCTCGGTGATCTCATCAAAATAATGTTGTTCAAGAGCTGACTGAGTAATGAGTTGATGTCTTAGTAAATCAGACACTGAATAAACACGATCAGAAACTAAAAACAGATGTCCACAATAACATTTTCTAGAGTCTGCAGCCATAGCAATTCTGTAAGGTGTTAGGGGTTTAGGTGTTTAGTGTTTGGTTTGCCCGTTCTGAGATACTGCAGAAACAGTTGAACATAGTAGAGGACCTGCTCCCTGTAGATAAAAATGTCTCATTCTAAAGTAATGAAAACACACAACTATTATTATTTTCAGGTGATTATACTCTAATGAAAACATACCTATGAACATTATAAATATATTTCTGCCAATAGATCCTCGTTAAAAAGAGTTACACACTTGATCTTTAAGAAAGGGCTGGAATGGATCCACACATGTAAACCACAAGGTTTATGACCAATTAACTTTATGTCAATTTTAATTTTAACTAATTATTACTGTCAATCTATTACAACACTTCCTCATCCCAACCCCCTGACACTTAGTCCCCTAGCCAGATTAGGATCCTTTACAGAAAGACTGTATGACATAGGACACAGACAGTAAATAACAAATGTCAGTCATAACGTACCTCAGAATAAACAGCATAGATGGCCACAAGGATCAAAGGAAGGCCGATACAAATGATTATCCTTGTCACCACATTCATGATGAACTCAAATTTCTCATAGAAATCAAAGGTGACATTTCTGTCACCATAGTTTATGTACTGCGAGGAGTTGTTACTGTAGAAATCTTCCATTCTTCAGAGTGAAACCTGTAGTTTAAGAGATCAGGTTATGGAAAGGAATTCAGTTTTTACTTCTACCTAACATTCTACTATTGTTTAGTGATAACACTGAAGTGCAAAGTGCACACAAGTGCTATACACATGGTATACTCACAACGATATCAAATCAAAAACGTCTTTTCAGTTTTATATGTTCACATAAATATTCAGCCTTTTTTATTTGCATGCCTGTTTGCATTTCTTATCATCGCAACATAAAAGAAGAAAGTAATGTCACAAAGTTTACCTTGGCGGCAAGACACACCTGAATGAGTTTACCAGCGTCTGATGTGTTGTCCTCTGCAACCATACAGTCTACAGTAAATATAGTTAAGTGATGACATGCAGTAGGTTCCTGTTAATCAACAACTCCTCTTCTCAGGAAATGAGAAAGTCCCCTCCCTTTCTGGCCAGAGTCAAGTGCTTGTGGATGCATCATTCTGTTGTAATTCAAGTATGAAAAATATGGTGAATCTGAATGATTAACATGTACATATAGCAGAGCTGCTTTGAGCTTTAAACACTCGCCAGCTTGTGGCAGCTACTGTGTTTGTCTTCCAAACAATTTGACTGGTTTCCAACTTGACCTGCAAAGCATCACAATGTCCAATAACATTTAATCAACCACTCAACACTGCAGCAAAATCCACTCCCTGTTACTCATCCGTCTGTTCAGTATGTTTTTAAATAATGTGAATCATATTCTTACAAATTACCTGTAACACAGTCATATTTAAAGGTTCAGTGTGTAACATTTAGGAGGATCTATTGGCAGAATTGGAATATAAAATTTACAGTTGCATGCGAAAGTTTGGGCACCCCTTCACAAATAATTCTATTTTTTTATTATCTTGAAGGTATGGAACATAAAACCCAATATTTGCAACAAACATGCATTGTTTCGACTTATTACATAAATTGAACAAAAAAACCCCATCATTGTGGCACGTGCAAATGTTTTTGTCTTTTAGGTTCCATACCCTTGAGATTTTTTTTTCAATAAAAAAATCACATTAGTGTATAGAAAAAGATTTGAATTGTTGTGTTTTCTTGACCTTAGAATGAGCCTTTTATATCTACAAACGTGGCTGGATTGGTCAAACAAACACAGGACTCACCCAGGATACCAGGGGTTCATGGCCAATATGAAGCCAATGTTGTATTTAAAGTTTTAAGAGAGTAAAAAATTATTTTTACCCTATACTTTGGTATGTGTTTCTAACTTTAAAGGCATACTATGCAGTTTTCCGGTTTTGTCAAACAACTACCCCTAGAGTGGTTGTTGAGTACTTGTGTTTAACGTTAACTGTCGTAAATGCCACTCACCAGAGCCGTCTCTATATAGGGCTCTGCGTCTCTGCACTCACGGCCTGATCCCCTCCCCCCTGTATACAGGTACATGTTCAGTAGGATGGAAGCTCGGACATCGAACAGGCAAAGATAGACTCCGAAGATGTATGTGACATCACGCCGTAAAGCAATTTGTCATTCTCGCAAGATTTTGCGGGGCGCCACCTTTCAGACTTGCATTGTTGGTTCTGCCAACGACGTCCCTCTCCTGCTTTGCTATTGGGATGATTCGCTATACTACAAGTTTGTTGGCAATCGAAATGACTTCGAAGCTGTTATATTAAGGTAAAAATCTTGCATAGTGTGCCTTAAAACACTGTTCAATTAACAATGATCCCTGTTTATGCGGACTAAATTCAGTATAGCTGTGACGTGCAATAATGAAGTAAAAACAGTTTCTCAAGAAAAAACACACAGAAAGAGATAGTAGGCCAATAGCCATGGCTATTTCCTGCAGATTTGATAAAGATTTTTATCTCACAGGGGTGAAAATAAGTATTAAACACGTTTTGTCATTAAGTATATTTCCAATGCAGCTATTTCCATGACATTTAAACCAGACATTGATGTTGATGTGAAGCCTGGAGTCACAATCGATAACAAGTACCATTTCCTGTCTCTGCTTTTCCTGTAAAAAACAGGTTAGTAGTGTGTCACACAAGGACACAATATCTGCTTACTGGTAACTCATGATTGAGGCCTGTAACATTAACTCAGTGAATCTACAAAGGTAAAGAAATTGTAACGTTCCAATTAATTAAAAAAATACAGCAATACAGTGGAATAACACAAGAAAAAAGTATGGAACACGCTAAGTAATCTTTCACAGTGTTTAGATGGGGTTTTGGTTGTGTTTCATGCTATCCCGTCTGTCTCTGTCTGTGTGGTGGGTCCTCTGGGTCCTAATTCCCCGCTCAACCTCCACAACTGCCCCAAGCAACCAACCTGAGATCCACCCAGTAATGAACGCTGCAGTAAATAAGTTTCTTCCACAAATGTTCTATTGGGTTTAAGTCTGGTGATTGACTGGGCCATTCCAATAACTTTATTTTCTTCCTCTGGAACAAACTGACAGTCTCCTTTGCAGTATGTTTTGGATTGTTGCCATGCTGGAAGGTCTACCCAGGGTGATCGTGCATGGAAAACATGGCAGTGGAGTGCATTACCTATTGCTTCGTCTGTGAAAATGGTACCTGCTGCTTTCAAGCACCTCCTATGCTTTTTATTTAACGAAATGAGACGACCTTGTTTCAGAGCCGTCATTTTAAAGAAACGTCAATTAAATATGATGTGTGACATTGTTTCTGCTACCGTTTTTTATGATCTTGTACTAGTGTTTGTGACAACTATATATTTATTTCAAAGTCAATTCACAATGTGGCATAATGTGACAAGAATGAACAGGTATTATACAGTTTTTCATATTTTTTTTATTGAACATGGACACATACTTATACATCTATGTAGCCTTATACTTAACCCCCATAACGCATAGCATTACTCTCTCTCTCTCTCTCTCTCTGACTCTCTCTCTCTCTCCATATATTTATATGTGTGTGAGTGTGTGTATTGTGTGTGTGTGTGTGTGTGTGTGTGTGTATAACACCGTTTGATTATTTTTTAAGATATAAGCTTAAAACTCACAGGATCAAGGCACAGTGAAGACATGAACACATCGTCAGTGATGTGAGGTGTCTGTGCAATTTCTAAAGGATACTTCAAGACTGAGTGTTGTAAATGACAATAAAATAACCTTGAATCCTTAAATTTAATACATATAGACAGATCAGCCATAACATTATGAGCACTGACAGGTGAAATAAATAACACTGATTATCTGGTTATCATGGCACCTGTCAGTGGGTGGGATATATTAGGCAGCAAATGAACATTTTGTCCTTAAAGTTGATTGTGTAGAAGCAGGAAAAATGGGCAGTGTGAGGATCTGAGTGACTTTGAGGGCCACATTGTGATGGCTAGATGACTGGGTCAGAGCATCTCCAGAACTACAGCTCTTGTTGGATCCCAGTCTGCAGTGGTCAGTACATATCAAACGTGCTCCAAGGAAGGGAAGGTGGTGAACCGGAGACAGGGTCATGGGTGGCCAAGGCTCATTGATGTAAGTTGGGAGCGAGGGCTGGCCTGTGGTTTTCCGATCCAACAGACGAGCTACTGTAGCTCAAACTGCTGAAGTGCATGCTGGTTCTGATAGAAATGTGTCAGAACACACAGTACATCACAGATTGATGGTCTGGGGCTGCATGGCTGCAAACCAGTCAGGGTGCCTATGCTGACCCAAAAGCAATGGAAAAAAGTGACCCGGTCTGATGAATCACATATTCTTTTACCTCTTGTGGATGGCTGGGTGCGTTGCTTACTTGGGGAACACATAGCTCCTGGATGCACTATGGGAAGGCGGAAGCAGTGTGATGCTTTAGGCAATGTTCTGCTGGGAAACTTGGGTCCTGTCATTGATGGGGATGTTACTTTGACAAGTTCCACCTACCTAAGCATTATTGCAGACCATGTAACTCTTTCAGTTGGATAATACACCGCGCCACAAAGCAAAAATGGTTCAGGAATGGATTGAGGAACACAAAGAGTTCAAGGTGTTGACTTGGCCTCCAAATTCCCCAGATCTCAAGCATCTGTGGGATGTGATGGACAAGAGTCTGATCCATGGAGGCCCCACCTAACAATTTACAGGACTTAAAGGATCTGCTGCTAACCTGTTGGTGCCAGATACCAAAGCAAAGGTCTAGTGGAGTCCATGCCTCAATGGGTCAGGGCTGTTTTGGTGGCAAAAGGGGGACCTACACATTATTAGACAGGTGGTCATAACGTTATGGCTGATCAGTGTATACACATGCACACACAACAATATGTTATTTTATATTATAGAAAACTAGTAGTGGTAAGCGAGGATGTGCCTTCCCAGTAGTTGTGGTGCTAAACCAAAGTCTTAACTGTTGAATCCAGGATGAACACCCAAAGTCATAAAGGTAGCACACATAGATTTGCAGGAAAAAAGTTAACTAATATCAACTACACCAATTTATTTTGGCAATGTCAGACAAAATAACGTTTTGCCCTCATGGCCTTCATCAGAGCATATTATAGAAAACATTATGTAAAACATATAGTAATTAAGGCCAGTTTATAGGTGGGTGGACTTCATCAGTAACCAGTTGAGGTTAGTAAAAACACAGCTGCTTTCTAATTACTGAAAAAAAAACCTCCACAGCAGCAGTTTTTGCTGAAACATCACATAAGACAAAGAAACAAAGGAAAATCCATTATGAGGAACTCTTAAGTACTGTTTTTACATAATTTAGTTTTGTTTCATCACCAAGTGACTACCTTAGCTTTCACCAACCAGCAGTGATGATCTACATGTGCTAATCATTTCATTGTAGATGGGGAATATGACTTGGTCAGAAGATTTTTGCTTCCCTGTAAAATCAACTTCCAGCTAACAAACCAATAAGAAACACATTTTATTTACAGTTGTTGAAGCCATCACAGTCAACCAGAACAAGTTCACCAAAACATTTCCCAGCAGCCAGTTCTCCCACAGCAGAGTCAAAACATTGCTTCCTTACATGAAGCTGACTGTGTAGATGTCATCATTTATACTGATGAACTTCTTATATCATTGCTGTCCATTCTGCAACAACACACAGAGGCCAAAAGCTTGTCTATGGTCCCTTTCCTCATGAAAACATACAGAACAAAGTCTGCAAGAGGACTCAACCTAAGTAACATGACATACAGGTTTCTGAAGGTGGTGTTATTTCTTGCTCCCTCTGCCAGGAACCCAATGATGGTGGGCAGGAACAGCAGCATGTAAGTAAGCAGCACCAGGACCAAAATTCCCACAATTCGTCGTTTTTCATCAGTTGGAAGTGATATGGACGCAGACAGGGCTTTGAGGGTCCCACCAAGGAAGAATATGAACAGTGGTAGAGGACAGAGGAGAAAGACGGCAGAGACAATTTGTGGCACCTTAGAATCAACTATGAATAAGAAAGTGAAGAAAAACACAAGAGGAACAGTCCAGACCACAACACAGACCACCACAGAGGTCTTGATGGTTCGTCTGAAGCGGTACCACAGCGGGAAGGCGATGACCAAATACCTGTAATACAAGATGGACACATAGTTTCAGAATTCTATAGTACTATAATGGTCAGACACAGAAGCTACACACATACTGGATAGACAGATAGCTACCTTTCCAGGGCGACGCACACCATGAAGCCGACACTGGCCAACAGTCCAGAGAGGTAAATATAAAAGAAAGTTTCAGATAATTTCACATCTTGAAGTGGTACCATCTGAACGATCATGCAGCTGAACTGAATGATGTCAGAAATGAGAAGGTTGATGACGTAGATCGGAGCAACATGATCTTTTTCCACCTGCAGGAAAACATTAGAGAAAGTAAACAAGCAGTTGTAAACCAAATGTCATCTTGCTCTGACCAGAAAAAGCTGTTTTAAAAAATTTTTTTTTATTAATCTGTCCTTTGTGCTGTCAGAAATATCAGATATGAAGACAGCATGTGTTTCAGCTGTGTTTCAGGCAGGGATATGAATAAATACAGTGCAATCTGGACCACACAGTTATCTCCAGCTCCAACTGCTCGGAGCTGCTTTATCCACCGCTCAGTCTCTCTCTCCACTGATTGCGGTACCTTGTGTGTTATTATATCACTTGATGTCCTTCTTTGTTTCCTGTTTCCTTCTTCTCTTGTGTAGCATGTTAGCTTGCTATAATCTGCTAATTAGCACTAAACACAAATGAGGCTGATGGGAATGTTTGAATTGGTTTTGCAGGTATTCAGTCATAAACCAAAGTATTGGACAAAATAAAATGTTTGACCTGAGAAATTTTGCTCAAAAACAAAATGTCAACCTAATGGTGGCTTGAGGGGAAGAAACAGGTCAGTATGCTTTATCTTCTTGAGACCATGAAAACTAAATATATATTCCTTGATTGTAAACATGTAAACTGAAATTAACATTTTAATGATGGAGTAAATTATTCCAGTAAATGTATAGGTCATTGCATCACTTTGTCCCAGCTCCATGACACCCCAAAGCTAGATCAAGATCCTTTACAGACTGCACAACAGACACATGACACAGTCAGTCAGACAGTAAATCAGTCAGTCATAATGTGCGTACCAGAGAATAAAGAGCATAGATGGCCACAAGGGTCAAAGGAAGGCCGATACCAATGATTATGTATGTCACCACATTCATAGCAGATCCATCTTTTCCTTTAAAATCATTGAATGCGAAGGTGACGTTGCTGTAATTATAGCTGTTGGCCCGTGAGGTGTTGTTAATGTAGATATCTTCCATTCTTCAGAGTATAACCTGTAGTTTGAGAAATCAGGTTATAGAAAGGGATGAAAAATGCTGTCTTTTCATATTTTATCATCATTCCTCAATATTTGTTACATTATTTGCAATAGTATTTAAACAAATAAGTTTCAGTTAGTTAATTTTTTCGGACAAAATTGTGGAACAAAAACAAAATTCCCCGAAAAGTTCCAGGGACCTATGCTGCATGTTATCCATCTCTCTCTGTGTCCTCATGTCCTGTCTGTCTTTACTGTTGCACGTCAATAAAAGGCTTAAATATCCCCAAAACTACCTATAATATGGTAGTCGTTTTATTTAGAACTGACTAAGAAATAATGAACAATGCTTTAATTTCACTAAAACATCAGTAACTCAATCAATAAATGACTGTAACCTGTACTGGGCATATCCTGTGGAGACTTTTCTTTTAAATGAATTATAACTTTGTTGCAACACAACATTAATAACTCTTGCATATCTTAGCTGTCATTTCCTGGACAACTGCAAACATCACTAACCTCTCAGTGGATTAATGCTATATCCAGTGTTTGCTTATTTTGTTGAAACTGAGTCCCTGTGCTCCATTTTGATGCATGTGCAATTCTGTGTTCCTGTGTTTATTCAGAAAGACAGAGTCGTTTGTTTTTGTTCAAGTGAATGCAATGTGATTCTGTAGGTTTACAATATGCTATTGTTACAAACATGTTGAATTTGATATATCACAGTAAATCTTATAATAATCCTTATTTTAAGCTATCATAAGGTGAAGTGACAGGCCTGATACTAACTTAAACTAACTTGTGTCAGGTAAAGAAAATAAGAATTTTTTTGTTAAAGTAATACATCAGTAAGATGCATATGAGATTGGAGCTAGTTGCATTGTTCATCTCTCCTGTATAAACACGCAGTCCTAAGTAATTTCCCTGTTGCTTTTATTTTCAGTTGTACAAAACTGGAAGATCGGTTTATCAAACTGACTAACAGTTGTACTTAAACTCTGCACAACCCTGCTGATACACCGGATATACAGCATACAAAATGTGAATATTTAAATATAAAAGGTAATGTAAAATGTCATAAGGCTATATTTACAAAATTATAAACACAATTGCATTATGGCAACCATTTTCCACATAGAAAGTAACCACATAGAGTAGGTTGCATCAGCAAGCGGTGATATACATCTAGGTATACATCCGTGTCTCAACAACTACGACAGCCTATTTCATTTAATGTCCAATGGCTAATGTTCGGTGACAGGTCACATAACAAGACAAAGTTAAAAAAAGAAAGTTCTAAATCACTAAATACTGATTCCTTCCCTTTGATTTGTTCTTATTCTCTCATCTCTCATCACAGCCAGCTGGTGGCAGAAACCCTATTACGTAATGCAGACACAAACAGTTTCCTTTTCCCTGGCCTGGCCTGGTGGTCAAATGGCCTTGATTGGCTGGATGGCTGTTGACTGACGGTTTTCATGTATGGGGAGCTCATTCTCTGAAGCAGGCCAACTGCTTTTACAGATTTCAGTTTTGTTTTATCATGTTTATCATGTCATGGAATCGTGTTTCTGTGACAGTGCGGGTGTCAAAACACCCATAACAGCTGTGGGTTTGACGTGCCTGACTAGGCATCTTCCATTCATCAGAGTGAAACTTGTTGTTTGAGACAGCAATTACATTAAACATGGAGAATTGTCTCAATGGTCCTTGATATTTGTGAAATCGTCAGCAAGATTTCTACTCTTAAAGTGTGTTATTGACAATGTACCCTCAACTGTTACATTCCTTAAGACCTACTTATTTTTTTCAGGATTTTAAATAAAGAAACATATAATAATAGTTTATCGGCACTGGCTCCTTGTAAAATCCCCACTTACAAAGCTGTTCGTGGTCAGGCATCTCCATATCTTGCTCAGATGGTTGGAAGCCAAACTGAGGAGGAGCAGAATATACTCGTCCACGAATACCCAGAGCTGTACCACCTGTCAAGTTTATTTTATTTTGACCCAAACAGAGGGAACAATGCCTGGAGATATATAAACTCAGAACTGGTGAGCATGATGATACTAGTTGTGCTAGCTAACAATAGCTCATTTAGTTTGTGTGTGAGTGATTTATGGTGCTGGAAATTCATGTGTCTTTGTTTGACTCTTAAATAAATTAGTTTAGTCAGTGAGGCGTAATGCTGAATTACCAGAATTTCATCATAATCAGGTTTTAGTTGCTTAGTAACAACTGTGGGTTGGCTGGCATCTGAACGGCCCCTTAAAAAGAGATCAAAGTACTATATTACCCCCATCAGAACACTGCACTCCCAGAATGAAAGGTAGAATGGAGCCACAGCTTTCAGCTATCAAGCTCCTCTCCTGTGGTACCAGCTCCCAGCTGTTCCCACAGCTGGTCACATCTATCCAATACTAGCACAGCGACACACCTGCATCGTTAGCCTATCATCTTGCGGCTGTCTTTTCAAATATGGTTCTCTCTCTGCCTTCAGTTAATGCATGCTGCTGTTCTGCACACCCCTTAGCCTCACCCATCACTGCCCAGTCTTCATTATTCATACACTTATCTTTACTTCATTCGCTCGTCTTTCCTGATTGAAATGTCAGTCGGGTGATTGTTGGATTTCCTGAAGAAGGCAGTGTGCCGAAATGTTGAGCTTTACAAGTTCAAATAAAAGATTGCCTCTAAGTCATGAGTATGCAGTCTTTCTTTGAATACACTGAAATTCAGATTCTCACTCATTACACTCAAAACAGACAGATAAAGACTTAAGCTACACAAACTCTCTTGGAAGAAATCTTTGACTGTAACTCATGTTACCACTCAGCGGATTAATGTGTGATGAGTAAACAGAAACACAAAACTAAATAAGCACTTAAATGTAGTCAAGTTAGTATTAGAAAGTAGTAAGTGAGTATTTCTACTTTTTCTGTCAGCCTCATGTGACAGACATATTTATTTTTCACAACTGTTAAAATGGTTTCCCTTTGTCTTTGTCTTTTACGTATTAGATTATTCATGAAGTGCCACTGCCTAAAAAATAAAAGGAGGTTATAATTTACCTTTAAAAGCTGCAGGACGACTACCTGAATGAGTTCCGTATGCTGAAGTGAAGTCTACAGTTTTGTCCTCTGTATCGACAGTGTACAGTAAATAACACACTGCACATTCCTGAAAATCTACTTCAACAGAGAAGAGGAGTTGTATGTTGTGAAATTTGAGATTGTTGTGATTTTACATGCATCCTGGCTATAAGAGATGATGGTGAATTAATCATGCCCCTGTCTGTGGTGTTTCTACAGATAATGCACATAACCTTAGCTTTACAAAGTGAAGGTGAAGCTTATTTTTCAGCAGTTCACTGAATACATGACAGTAACATTTTAACAAAGAAAGAAGAGAAAAACAATCTCAAGGGCTTACAGTCCAGTTTTATATAAAACACCACCACAGAGACCTTACTTTGATGTAGTGTAACAGTGGGCAGGCGACGAAGAGGAACATAAGACAGACAGACAGATATTCTGGATCGTATATTCCTGACTTCATGTGAGGCCTCAGCAAGGACAAAATTTTGATTTCAGAGGTGGGGGGGAAACAAGTATTTTTAATAAAACTCTACTCTTTCAGTTCACTGTGCTTTCTAATAGTTCTTCTAGTTTTCTATTGCTGCTTTTAAGTTTACTGTTCCCTTTTTTGGTTTGACTGGTTGTAAAGCATGAAGCAAAACATTATCACCCAATTCTGTGTTTCACTTTGTTAGTCAACTTCACTCCAACTCAGTACCACCAATTTTACACTTCTTTTTGGAATATATGGTAAACAGACCTCATTTACATAGCGGACATGCTGCTTTATTGGGAGCCAGTGAAGGTGTTGCAGGATGGGTGTAACGCATTTTTTGAGTAACTTACACTTTGACTTCTAAAGAAGTCTCTTATGTCCACTTTTCTTTTTTTAGACATCCTGGCTGCGCCTAATTACCAAACACACATACGCACGCACGCACATACGCACATGGACACCGATTCAGACGTTAATGTAAATGAAACCTCTGATATTACTTCTAGCTGACGTGACCCAGGCAGAACAAACGCCCAATGTACAGTGGCAGATTCATAAGGACTCCTGGGCAATTCCAGCAGGCCGGTGTGCAAGCAAGATGGAGTGACAGCGGGGTCGGCCAATCACAGAAGAAACGGCAGAGCCAATCGAGGAGCTTGTGGGTGGGTCTAAACTAAGGGAAACAGGCTTCAGCTTGAGCGGCCGTTTTCCGCTTGGTCCTAGTGCTTGACGTGTCTCTGTTTACTATAGCGTAACATTGTTTTTGGACGGTAAAAACTGCAGGGGACCAAAACGGCCTTTTGAAAAAGTACAGGTTAAATGTCTCCTGTGTCCCCCCCCAAATTACGTCCGTGTGCCTCAGAGATGGTATAAGGGTCATGTCAGGACACACATACTGGAAAGACAGATAGCTACCTTTCCAGCGACATACACCCTAAAGCCAAGACTGGCAAAGGGGAAATAATACATAATCAAAGTGGACAGACCACAAGAAACAGAAAATAAGAAAAGAATAAAATAAGACCTTACAAAAATTAAAAAAAAATTTTCTAGAATCTATGATATTATGGACGATGGATCAATTATTTATCTACCAGACATGAGGCCATTATGGGATTCATCACTAATGTAATTTAGGACTGGCTTTAATTTATTAGCTAGACATAATGCAAAACTTTTATAATCATTGATTAGAAATGAGATTGGACGCCAATTATTCAACATTAAAACATCTTTATGGGTCTTTGATATTAATTCAACTTGAGTAACACTAATAACTAATTCTCCTAGCTGAATCTGAATGTCAATCACCTTCGTTCTCACCTCCTCCTCTCCTTCAAGACGACTGACGTTTTGAGTAGGAATATCTCAAGTATCTCAATATGGCAACATATACAGTGCTGAAATTTGTATACAAAGAATGAAATAAAAACAAAACAAAAACAATACAATAATAGAAAAGTGGAAAAGTCCCCTTTGAGTTGAACTTGAAACCTCTTTTTACAATTTGTGACGTGGTCTTATGTGGTTGCTGAAGTATTGAATCGAGCTAGTCTGACATTCTCGGTGGGCAGATCCTACTGTAGGCCACATTGCTTCCAAGTCTGTCCACAGTCTTACGGCTGGGCTTGCCATCACTGAACCTCCAGATTCTATCTGAAACAAAAACAACATACGTAAGTAGTGCAAAATATTGAGTTATTGTCTTTTCTTTCCAACATGACCTATCTCATTAACGTATTTTCTTCATTTAGAGTATTTTACAATGTATAACCAATAACTGAGGACATAACTTGATTACTATGAGATAAATCACCACATTTAACAGAAACAGGTATTTTAACATTAACAAACGTATTATCTACTTTCAGAGTCATAACAAGCACACACAACTTACAGATATCGTTCAATCCTCATCTGATTCCATGATCCTTCGGCAGCACTCAATGAAAACAGAAGTGACTTGCGGACGATGTAGATTGGATCAACACAACCATATCGCACCTGCAGGAAAACATTGGTAAAAGTAAGCAAGCAGTTGTAAACATATTGTGAACTTCACCTCCTCCCAAATATGTCATCTTTCCCTGACCAAAAATTGTAGTCAGAGACATTTATGCATTTTTCATCAGCAAAGTTCATCAACTTTAAGCAAAAACATTCTTGCGTATCACAGGGCTGTGGCAGTGTTGTGTGGGAACAGGACAGATAGACAGCTGCTTGAGCCAGAGGAGCTCTGTAGAGCTGCAGCTTTTGCAGGAATAAACACCTGTAGTCACCAGATTCTGCTTGGTTCTGGAGTTGTACCGACAAGAAGAGACAATATTTTTAACTTTTGGGATTAAAACATGAATTCATCTTGAGTCTAGTTTCTCAACCTGTCTGCTGTGAGCCATTGAGGCGTCACCAACACTTCAAACGATCTGTGGGCCCCCAGAGATCTATGATTTATACAGAGAACAGACAAAAAGGGAGATTGCTTGAAGAAACGCAAGAGAGGAAGTTGGACTACTTGGCAAGTGCTGAAACTATGTGTCTGTTACTTGAATTTTACTTTACTATATATTAAGTTAGCATAGCCCTGACTGATCCGAACTCCTCCATACCACTTCAGTAAAACAGATTAAAGGGCAATCTTACTACTAATGATCCTGCAAAGAATTGTGTAACGAGTGGAGAAAATACACTCAGTTTGTGACTCTCCTCAATGCATATACATTTCACAAATAATAGGAGGAGACATGTTTACAGAGCTTAATTATAATGTAATGTATGTAATACTAATGCTTAGTATAGCATGTTAGCATGTTAAAACCTTCTATTTAGGACTCAACACAGTGCATCTGACTGATTGGAATTGCAGGTATTTAGTCATGGACCAAAGAATTGGACAAATTACATTTTTGATGAGGATCACGCTTAATGAAAAGTCAGGGGAAAAGTTTGATTATGATTCCACCTTTTCATATGGAAATCCATCCCAAAAGCATATAGGCAAACTCGTTTGCATTATCTTTGGAATGAAGCGCTGAGAGAAAGAGAAAAATAGTTTTTACACAGATTCTGCAGCAGTATCATAAGAATTCCCGCCATTACGCCGCCTAGCATAGCCCCCAAGCCATATCAAAATCCTAAACAGACTGTATGACAAACACATAAAACAGACAGTTAATAAATAAATCTCAGATAAATTTACATACCAGAGAACAAACAATGTAGATGATATAGAGGATCGTAAAAAAGTTGATAATGGTTCCCACAAATATGGGTATAATGTAATAATCACTGGAGTCAGAAGTGATGTTGTTCTAATTAGAGCTGTTGTCCAGTGAGGCGTTGTTCCATGCCATTGTTCAGAGTGAAACCTGTTGTTTGAGAGATCAGTTTATACATAGATTGTTCAGTGATATAACTAAAGCTGTGAGGTACAAGTTCACACAAATACAGTACACCAATTACTATGCAATGAAATCTAATAAAACAATGTTGTGTCTCAGTTTCAGATAGTACAACAAGTTCTCGTTAGGTCATTCCTGCAGCCACAGAACATTTTCCTCTGCCCCTCATTTCACTAAAGCATTAACTGAACCATAGCCACTGTAACTCTATCCTGCTGGAAGACTTTTCAACACACAAAACTCTTTTGCATATCTAAGCTGTCATAATTTCCTGGAAAACTGCAAACATCACTATAAGCCTTTAATAAATTTATAAAGGACTTAACTAACACTAACACTAGCCATATTTCTATCAATCAGAATTATTTAAATCATGCCACACCCTACTGTAGTTATTAAGGCTCTGTAAACCACTGATCCCAATAAATCTACCAGTGAAGACAGCTCAGATCCTTCTGTTCATCATCTTTTGGCTCTACTAATTGCTGAGTAATAACTAGTCTTATTTTATGCAATTTGAAAACACATAATTTTAGCTATTTGTAGCCTTTGTCTTTGTTAAAATAATCCAAAATGTATAATTAACAAGGGAAGAGAGTAAAACAATAAATGCCAAATTTAATCAAACATAATTGGTTTAATTATTGTATGCTGTACACCTACCTCCAAAACTGAGCTTGTTACAGTGTCCATGTTCATTTTCATGACCGTTATTTCTATACATAAGAAAAAAAAGTAATTTCACAAAATGTACCTTTGAAAACACCAACTGAATGAGCTCCCTACTCCACTGTCTGATGTGATGTCTTCTGCATCCAAACACTCTGTAGGAAATATGGTAAGTGATACATGTAGCAGGTTCCTATAAATCTAAACCTGCTCTAGAAGAAGGAAGAAAAAAAAGTAGTCACAAACAAATATGCATTAGTGCCCTGCAACCTTGGTGCCAAAAAGTCTGGCCAAAGTGTCGCCTGGTACAGATGATAAAGAGGATGCATATGTAGTTCCTTGTTTGTTGTGTAGGTTTGGGATTCTTACTGAATAACTGAGTTTCATCAGCACATGGCAACCTTTTGTGTAACATTTTGTTTGTATAATTGAACTGTCATTAACTGTAAATAACACACAATAAAAAAAAATATCCACTCAGAGAACCAAACTCATACTTTAACATAACAC